ACGGAGAAGAAGCGAAGCCTCCCGAGTGATCCAGTTCAAAGCTTCGCTCCACCACACTGCAGTGCATCCAATACCACACAGACAATCCCTTCGCGTTTTATCCTACAACATCACCATCGACGCTGCTGACACTTGGCGACTTTCAGCTCCTTCCTTTGCTTACATCTTTCGATACTCGTCACTGTCTGTACTCACACGGGGTTCAAGTGGGCTACCACTTGATCTGAAAAGTATTACGATTAATGAGCTATAAAAATGCTTTCGAAATTTTAATACTGGAACTGTGTATCTTTTCAACACTTGAATATAAAACACACGTGCATCTCATATAGCACTGCTGCTTCCTTGGATCCACGTGGTGTCACGGAATATTACTCTACATTCAAGCCTCCTTCAAGCCTTGCTAAAGTTTGGGTAATTCAGTCATGTCAATAGGCCTATATTTTGAAAAAACCTTCCTCACTGACAGTTGTCATTAATATGAATTAATCCCTACATTGTCGAGTACATTCAGAAACACGTTCGAATATCAATAATTACGAATTAGATGTGCCTTCCAGTTACAGTGGACCACGACACTCTGAGGTCATACGATTACCCACAGGTTTGTTCATCTTACTGTCTCGCAGATAGCAGCTAATGACAAATTAACCTAATGATTTGTTTAAAACGCATCTTAAGAGGTCTTACCCTTACTACAAACAATTTCAGAGCAATGCGTTAATCCTGCATAATTTATATTTTATTTTTCAGACAAACTGATTCCCTTCAACGAAAATAATTTATTTCGAATGTCATGTTATCGACTACAGATTACGTCTTGATATGAAGCTGCTCTATTTTTTCACACGCTTAGTGTACTTGTGTCACTTTTAAACACACGTGTATTAATTACGTTGACAAATTCGAAATTTAAAAACCTCACGCTTCAAAACAAACTCTCACTGCTGCAGCCACTCTTTAAAAAAAATAACCTAAAAACCAATTTCCATCAGAATAATCTCGATCGTAATCTGATTGCGTATCGGTTTCCACTGATTTCAAACACACACAGCAATGTTGTCTTCACGAGTTGACAGAACAAACTTGTCTTGCAGGAGTTCGTGACGTCACGAAGCAAATATGAGAATGTTGTACAGATATAACTTACTGGGAGGGGGCAGAGGAGAGGGGAGTGTACAAGGGTCGCAGCAAATTCGACAACGCTCACACACGTCGCAGAAGAGGGCTTTATGTCTGCATGAACACTTGACCGGTTACAACGTGACACGCAGTCCACAGAGCAACTCGCTTTCCTGCCTCGCGTCTCGTTCGTCTACGTCTCGTCAGACAGCCAGCCCGCGCTCCAACACCACCACGTGCGTGGCCAGTCGGCCATAGAGTGAGGAACAGTTCTTGCGGCTACAACGGCGAGGGTAAGTAAGCTGCAGTCACAAGTTTTAGCGTCGCCCGAGGGTAAGAGTTAGCTGAGTTCCACTACGAAGCAGCCAGAAGGGGGCAGGACTTTCAGCCAAGTTGTAGCAGACCCGGCCGGCGTGCGTGGAAACGTCACCTACCACGTGACGTTACATTGGTCACGCCCATCAGGAGAAAAAATACGGTAACTCGCGACGGCGCAAACCCCAAGCCCTGCCTCTCGTCAACTCCCACTAATGCGAATAAAACAAAAGGACGAGGCAGTGCATGCTATATCATATACCATCCATCTTCGTCTTTTGATCCCCATACTGACAGGTAACAAAAAAAAAGATGATGAAAACATGGTTAAAAGAAAATGTAAACAAATGTTTCATAAGCCAGCATTATGTAGCTGTCGTGTTTATGAGTGCAGACGTACTTCATCAGATTGCAGTGATGTTCAGTATTATTACTGTGTTGAAAGAAATTTCTGACACAATTTCGCCCGTGTAACGGCACGTGTTCCGTGTAAGTTCTGTGGTTCTTACGATGGCAAAAATGTCGATGTCGGTATTCTGGGTTGCCACGCCGTGTAGATACCAACATTTCAGACTAACACAATGTCTCACCTTCAGGCCTAAATACGAGTGTTTCTACATTTAAATGACGTGGCAGTTGACAGACTTTGGTCTAATCGTCACAGAACAACACAACGTCACTTTAATTGCTTCCGATTATTTACACACATCAAGGTATTGACCAAAACAATGCCAATCAGTTAAAGTACTTGTAGATCAACAGTGATTAATATTGGTCCAATTCATTCGCTTCCAAGTCAATCTGAACAGTAAATGCGTGATTTTTCCCCCAGCTTAAACAGTAAGGCTACAAAGACATCTTATTCCTAACAGATAGGACAGAAACAACAGTTAGCCTACAGACAAACAGAATAGGCTATCACATGCCTATTTAATCGATTGCAGGCCTATAGTTGTGGGAATCTAATTAGGCCTAGCCTCCACACCCTATTGTAACTATTTATTCTACTATAAAAAATCAAATCAAACGAGTATGAATAGGCCTACTCTGTTTCGTCTAATAGACCTATTGTAGAAGGAAAACGATTTCAAAAATGACTCGTGTTAATGTACACAAAACTGGTGTTACGTTATAGCCTAGACTAATACGTCACTTACTCGTTAAAATGCAAAAATATTTAAAAAAAACAAACAGGCCAAAGTACAGACACGATCTATAATATTCATAAAATCAAAAACGTACGTCAGGTAATGTATCAGGCTGTATTATAGCACAAGACTCAAAATTAAATTCTGTATGCCTAACGTTTGGTATGAAACCCCCAATATAAAATGTAATCCATTTCAATCAGGAAGTTTCGGAGAGGAAAAATAAGTACAAACTGACATCTTTACAGTAAGCCTGCGTGGCTATCGTGCGCATTTTGCACGAAGAACACAGAGGCTAATAAATCTTAGAGGCACAGTGTGAGATCTCAAACCACGAGACTAAAGAACTCTGTGGGCTACTTCAGTTTGTATCTAGGATCTGATGGATGTTCTCGTCTGTGCGACAGGTCTACAAATATTTTCTTTCCGAACACTGTCTCTCGGTATTAATGTCATGCATCAGACGTCACTGTGCCAGTCTCTCAGAAAAACTGCTGATTGGTTTTATTTTGACAGACCTCGGCGATCTGTATTCTTCACAAATCCGAATCTCTCGCGACATTCAGACACATCGACAGAAAACATTTTAAAGACGTGGGACTAGAACAGAAAAAAACGAGACAAATACTCACCGGTTCAAACAACTTGACAATGGTACCCTGCTGAGACTACTGATGAAATAAATGTATTTCAGCTACCTGAAAATTATTTTAATTGAAACATCTAGCAGTTGTTATAGGTCACTAGTCCAAATGATGGTAATTGTAAATCACTGACCTCAGAATTTTATTGTAATGTTTTAGTCATGTGCGTTCAAGGTGGGGGTGTTTGACACGGGTTGATGGGCGGAATATTTTGATTTGATACAAGAAATAGTAAAACTATTATATACGTAGAAATAGTTGTTCTCGATTTGAACTCGTCATCAAACATGCGGGCCAATTACAATGATTAAATTAAGGAACAACAACAAAGTAATATTTTTGAAATTAAACAAATTATCCAATGATGTTAACGTTCTCAGCGATATTTTTAAGTAATTGGCAATTCCTAGAATTGGACGTATGAGGAATCGAAGATTAGCGGCATAATACTGGCAGCTGATTCTGTGTTAATCAGAGATTTGCATCTTCACATACAGTACAGTCTATAAATGTAAAACACGAGACCTACATCTCGTACATTTATACAAACTGGGTGATTTGTGGTGATATCAGTTCTGATACATGCTTCTAGATGTAATCCTACTTTTAGGTCTAAGTATAAATTAAGAGCTTTGTCGATAAATTTCATTTTTCATTAACCACTCATAACTCTCACGTATTTCCTTCGCCTTGTTGATATTAATTTTGTGTCTTTCATATCCTAACTGCTCCCATATTACAAACAGTGGAAAAGAGCCTACATTTCCTAGTCTCTCTGCCTAACTCGTCGAAGGGGGTTTAATATAAATTAGAGTCAGGTTCAAAGGGGTGAGGAGAAGCCGCTAAGAAACTACAGACAGACAGAGCTGCATTTCGCTTCTTCACCACCACTTCCCCTGTAGTACATACCGCACGCAACACACCTCAATAGTCTGCGGAACACTACGATGTTCTGACATTTAAATTTCAGGGGAGCTCCAACAGAAATTCGCCTGAGCCCAATCGCGCAGTTACCATGAGCAATGCGACATGAATTCTGCCTCGACCGAAACAACTGAATAGCTTTCTCGCAGAATTCCGCGTTCTGAAAAAAAGTTCACGATTCATCAATGTCAGGCTTAACATATGTATTTAGCATATCTTATTATCACCTTATCTTATTTCTACTATTCTTTTGACGACTGACAGTTTTGGGAGTCTCAGATACTCACTCCGAAATGCAGTATTTGCAGGACAGATGTTGGAGTTCAGACAATATAGATTCTTCAGCCTCATCAGCATTCAGCTTCGCGTGCATTCCGTGGTAAGGTGCAGGTCTACACATGTGTGACGAAGCGCCTTACAAATTAAACAGTCCCATTCAACACATAACGAAATTGCTTCTCATAATATTCCACAGTAAGAGACAACAGAATGCTACTTCATATTGCATGGTAGCCTAGTAAGAGTATTTTTTCTATCTTTTGATATAACTTAGGCGTGGGTCTACCAAATCTAAAACCCACTTTAAAAAGTAAAACAGTATATTTCTGTTTTATTTTAAACTATCGT